TAAATGAAATTACCACCAAAGCAAACAAGACTCTGAACTTTTCTACGCCGCTATCTCCACACCTGTTTGGCCAAATCCAAAGAACGAGCATACAAAGCCCTTGTGAGACCGATTGTTGAATACAGTGCCGATGTCTGGGACCCTTGCGTGGCTAAGAACATACAACAGGTCGAAATGATTCAAAGCTATTCAACGCCGAGCAGCTCGCTGGGTACTCGGGCGCTACGACAGATTAGACAGTGTCACTGATATGATATCTACTCTCAAATGGAGATCTCTGGAGCTCAGGCGATCTCACGCACGTCTCTGTCTGCTGTACAAACAGTGTAATGGATTAGCCACTTACGATTGCGGCAAGCTTCTGAGAGAACATAAGAGCAGAATGGACACCAGGCGCTCGTCTCTCAGTCATCGATTTGAGCAGCTACGTTGTACATTTGATTATTACAAGAACGCTCTTTACCCCTAGGAGTGCACAGTGGAACAATCTCTCACCAGAAATTATAGCATGTACTTTGCCATGTTCATTTAGGCAATCCCTGTGTAATCTTACATATTGATTAGTAATTTTATGTTATTGTTTTATTCATTGTCGTAATTTTTATTATTTAAAGCAGTCTGCAATACTTAAATAAATACATCTTAAAATAAAATATTTATTGATGTTGACAGGTACACAAGATATACTGCATGGTGGGTGCAAGCTTTGAGAAAGCTCAGGGAGGGTTTGCACGGGGAATGGCCAGCAACCGCATGTGCAGAATGCAGCCACAGAAGTAGCGGCGGCTGGGGTGGAGGGTCTCAGTGGGGCGGTGGCTTTTACGGTTATCGGCTAAAATTTTGGCTCTTTTACGGCTATCGGTTAATTTTTTTCAGTTACGGTTAACGAAAAAGTTAAATAATAATTTCTTTTGTTTCAAAGATTTAAATATTAATAAACCTGTATTCTTTGTATCCGCTTCAAGGCAAAATTTAGGTCTTAGGATCATGTGGGGATAAAATGAAGTTATTCTTTTGAAAAATTTTAACATTTGATAGATCATACTATTTATAGAGTATTCCATTTTTAATATTATTTTACGCATAGAAATGTCAATAGTCAATTTAAAAATAATCTTTGTAAAAAAGCAAAAGCAGACACGCGAACGCCTAACTCAAGGCAGGGGGGACATTCATTATAACAGAGATGGGCGTTTTCACACTAGCGACGGATTATTCGTGTGAGATGGGTTATCCGTTTGATAATTCGCGTCAGATAGGTAATACGTCTTAATTTGAAATGGAAAGGGTTTTCCTTTTGAATGAACAATCCGCCTGACTTTATCCATCAATTTTGACGGACAGTTTGAAGATGGATTATCCGTTTCAGATGGCCTGTGTACAGTCGCCCCCTCCCCTCAGAAAAAAACGGAAAAGGGGTGTCCGTGGGGGAGGGGGCGACTGTGCACAGGCCAGTCTCAATAATACATACATACATAAACTTTATTAAAGTGTCAAGGTATTTAGCTAAAAGCTAATTGTGGACACTATAAATAAATAAAATGAATATAATATAAGATTAAATCAAGTATATGTAAAAATATTAAAAATATATTCTTAAAATATCATTAATATATAAAAATAACATCAATATATAAAATTATTACAGACAGACAGTAGGACAAGCAGGGAACAAACAAAGACAAACAACTAGATAGACAAAACAGACAATCAGATAGACAGGCAAACAAACAGACAATATAGGACAAACACATAAGCAGCAGTAAAATATAGATACAAAATTCAGAAAGTTAAAAATTTAGAAAATTTAAATTAGACGAATTAAATAGAGGATAGGGGAGCACACTCTCAAAACACCAGGCAGCCACGCAGCAGAAGCCACTATGCATACCCACCACCCTAAGATGAGTATGCACAGCAGCCACACGTGCCGTCCAGCAAGCGAAGCACATTGAGAGCACGCCCCCCTCTCCTGAATGCCTGAAGACTGGTCTTACTGTGTAGTTCCTGGCTTATCTTGCCCCGTATGTGTGGGCCTAAATATCTGATACTGTGCTTGCCATACTTAACAGTATTATATCTTGGAACAGGAAAATCACTTCGTAAGTTATAATGCTTATCTTGCTGAAAAAACATATTACATACATGCTCTGGAGCTAATGAATTTTTAACCTTATACATTAAAATTAGTATATCTTGTAACCGTCTGTTCTCAAGACTAGAGAGTCTTCCCTTCTCTAGGAGTTCCTCATACATAGCATTCCTATCATTATATACAGCACGTAATGCCCGTTCTTGTACTCTTTCTAATTTTCTTGCATCAGATGCTTTGCAAAAATGCCACACTATGTGACAATATGTTAAGTTAGGTAAAATTGCCGATTTGTACGATTGTAACTTGGCTTCTCTGGGAATCATCTTTCTAGGACGTACTAGAACACCAACTTTCTTACTTGCCATTTTGCATATATCACTTATATGAGTACTAAAACTAATCCATTTCTAGCTCTTGTTCGAAAACGGCCAATGACAAAATTCCTGCGTCCAGTGTTTTTAATGATAGGGAAGGACTGTACAGAAAAACTGTCTGCCGTTGCCTTGTCCATAGGCCTCATTATTCCGCGCGGCTAATGCGTTTCGGGTCACGTGGTCTGAGCGAGTTTGTTTCCCGGATACGTCACAGATCTTCTGGTGTCCCGTACAAACGTGAGTCACCAACTCTCCCGGATAAAACTAAATTTGAGCCAGTATTAGAAGGTGGAATTTACCCTAAGCCTCTTATAACAAAAAATAATAATTTCCCCAAATTCATTTTCTTTTCGATCACAGCACGGTTTTTGTGGCATATCACTATTGTTTTGGGAATGGGCTAGCATGAACACAGACGTTGCTATTTTTCTTTTCGTTCTCTTCGAAAACATCGGCGAGGGCGAAGGGCACGGACTTTAAAGAGAAAATAGAGGGTCTGTGAAAAGGCTAGGAATGGGGATGCCTAAAACGCGGGGATGCCTATATCACTCATCTGACACCGATAATCCCTGAGCCACACCCATAATTTGGGACTGGGTTGATTTGTGTTTATGGGGGAGGGGTAAAACTGTCCGTCTCCACCTCTAGAGATCTTAAAAGATCTCCAGGGGTTGGCATCGGTAGGCGTTGGTGCTGAGTTTTAGTGGCGGACTGAGGGGTCCATTGGGCTGCCGACTGCGCGTTTTTAAGCCGGGGCTGTACAGTGCCTTCTACTGGACTGTTATGAATTAAAATAGGCCAGTTAGCCTTATGAAAAAGAAACGATTGGCATTATTTTTAACTGGGGCATATAACATATTCCTTTCTTGAAGGGAAAGATTTTTTACACACAGGAAGTCGAGAGACCTTTAACAAATTAAAACTTTTCCCGTAGGGACCGTCGAAGGTCCGCTCGTTTCTGCAGCTCCCTTGCAGGCTAACTGTCATCGAATACTGTATTCAGATAATCATCCCGCGTATATATAGGGCCAACAACTCCACGCAATAAGTTAAGTTTGTGTTCGTTCCAAACTGACTTCTAAATCTGTCCGCCAGAAGACCTGAAACGACCCGTCTACTTCCCGCAAAAGGCGGCCCCATTGAAGCGGGGATGGGACACGCTGGGGGCTCACCACCGCGGTCAAACGTCTAAATCGTTATTTTTGTTTTTTATTGCTGGGATTTCATTTACCAGTTAGAGAAAAATGGGCAAAGATGTATAAATCAGTTAGTCAACATAACTATCCTCCCATTTTTCTCAAAATTTTGAGCTTTTTTCGCTGAAAACGCTTCGCGCTGAAAGAGAATCATGTTTGAAAATGGCGCCGATAATAAAGTCAGCATCGGTTCAATCACTTAGAACTTTTTTCGTAAACTTTTAAAAAGTTTAGTAAACTAACAGGATGTTGGTAATGCCCTAAACTTTCGATAGTGAAAGTAGCAAACCTTAACTTTGAAGTAAATATAATTCCCTTAACTTTTGCAAATTTCACTCGTTTGACCACTGTGAAATTGGGTTATCAATTACAAGTGTTTGGTATCTAGATCTGTATCGCGTCACATTGTGCACGTGCTCCATCGCTTTTCGTTGCAGTCAGCGAGGTCAAGATGTCACGTCAAACGACACTTGGCCGTTTTGGCTTTAAAAAAAGCATTTCGCACAGAAATAGCGTGATGGAAACGAAAGTACCCGATTTTGTTTCAACTATGTCAAGGACAATTAAGTGTAATCACTGCAGTAAGCTCTTTGTTAACCAGCAAGGGTTGTCTGTACACCCGGTCTGTACATGAGAAATGTGTGCATGGTGTTAGCGGAATGACAAAGGCAGCCAAAATTATATCTATCCTTTTCAAAATCTCAGCCTCGGCTTTATTCTTAAAATATTCTTAAAATTTCGCAAATTTCAGCCTCGATATTCTTATAAAATATATTCTTATAGAGTGTACCCTGCGAGCAGTGGTTTCTCCAGGCCGGACGCTACGCTACGAAGCGTCCGACCTGGAGAAACCACTGCTCGCAAGGTAGTCTTGAGACGGATTGACACGAGGAAAGTTCAACTTTCCAGTTCACGCAATGACTCGGCGTCGGTAATGAAATGGCCTTCTTCACAGTGGGGAATAAATGGGGAAAAAATGGAAAAGAAGGGAAAGTGGGGACAAGAGAAACAGGAGTAAACTCGACCGACAACAGATCTAAGTATGAAAAACAAAACATGAACCTTTTGTCCGCATTTATCATCGATATTTATGGATTCCTTTAAGTAATTTATGACAAAAACTAGTCATGACAAATCATTTTCGAACATATACGTCTGTGTTTATTTTTAGAACAATCGCTAATCTTTTTTACAGGTCACATGACAGTTTCCACGTACACATGCGCAATCAAATTTGCACTGAGTGGGCTTGAGGAAATCGGAGTTGGTGTTCCTTTACCAAATTTGACACTCAAAAATACACTTTTCCTCCCTTAATAGGAGGGACGTTGAACCATGGCAAGTTACAATGAAAATCCCTTCGCTGGAGACTCGGAAAATCCATTCGCCGTAAGTTATTATGACCGAAAGACCTTCCTCTTTCGTGACTCACTAACAGTTCGGGTTTTCTGAGATCGAGTGACCAAGCTCGTTAAAAATTTCTCTTGTGTATTTCAGGATCCTTCAGTGGCCTCGCACACCAGTAATGCGGCTCGTGGACTTGAAGATTTCAATCCCTTTGCAGAACAAAATACTTCACAAGCAAGCGGTGCTGCAAAGGTTCTTCATATATTTGTTTTTATTTTCCGTTTGTAGGTCTTTCGTACCACCAGTGATCATTAAATGATCATAATCTAATAATGTACCTAGGCTCTCAAAAACACAGCAAATGTGCCTGCTACGAATAATTGTCATCGTATACGCCTTTTTGCATTGGTTATAGTCTTGGAACTTCGAAATTAAGCTTACCTAAAATAAGCATACCTGAAATTATTTTGCTCTTTACTCTTCCATATCTCTCTTCACTCAAATTTTGCTGAATATCTGTTATAATGATAAACTATATAGCCTAAATTATTCTAGAGTAGAAAATGCGAGCTTATCTAAACTAACTGTGAGCGTGTGCTTCATTTAAGGAAGCTTGATCGCAAATTGATAGAGATCTTTCGGTCTCTGGATTATTTTCTCAACAATATATCATATAGATTAAGGCCCCCAAGATCTATGGCAGATGCAGCATATATATTGTGCCCATTGTTCGTGTAATCTACAGATGATTAAACTCGTAACCGAGCTATTTTTTGAATATTATTTTGCAAAATACACCTGTTTGATAAATAAAGAAAGTGTTCAGTACAAAACTGGGACTGGGTATAAAACATGGACTAGGCAGGGAAAGCTCTCATGAAGGATAAAAATGTTATCGATTTTTTCGGATTATGCTGTCTCAACATTGCTTGTCTCAACATTGCTTGAACTCCTCTAGCACAAATTCACTCTTTTGTAGAAAAACTCAAAGACAGATGTTTTTGTTGGTTTTTACCCACTATATTTTGTTCGCTTCAAAGGGACGCCAACATGGCATCTCCATATAAAGCCTTATAAATTTGTGTAACACATTATTCCAAGTATCTCGCATATGAAATATTGCATAGACCTGATTCTTAGCAATGCTGTTTTCAAATTTATCTTCTCTCATTTCCCATTTTCTGAACTTTCTGTCAAGGCTCAAAATAACGGACAGCAGGTCGCCTGTCATGATGACCGGCCAAATATTTTTTAGCCTGGACAAACCCCGATTTTGGCCAGTCAAATAAATGAACGACATATTTTTATTTGCCTATGGAATATCGAATTACGCTGGTGAGTGATCGTTGTACTGCCTTGATGTTAAGGTTTTTGGTGGCAAGTTGGTGAAAAATTCCTTCACATGTTGTTGAGTTCCTTGCCAGGATTTTCGCCTGTTTTCATGTCCGTTTATATATACCTTGAGTATCATTGTACGGCAGTGTCTGAAGTCTCCAAGGTTCGTCCTATATCTGCATATCGGTGAAACTTGATCCTTTTCGTTGCGCAGCACGTGATCAAAAGTCTCGTCCACAACGAAGAAACGTCACTAAATATTTCCAGCAAAGAAGTTGATTTGGCAAGAAATTTGTTCCACAAACAGGGTATTTGTCATCAAAAGTCAATAAATATACAGCAGAGCTTTCGTTTGGGTCACCGCGCAACACTTTATCGTGAAGGGCTTATTAACTTCAACAGAAATTTGGATAACGCTGTTTACAAGAAGGAGGATTTTAAGCGCCAAGATAGGCGACGTTCGTTCTCAGTTAGCTTTATAGTTTTTATCAGACAATTCTGGAATCGGGTCCGCAAACGAGATTCATGTTCGACATAAAGAAATTATTATAATTATTAATCGATGCACAGAAATTTATTCGTGGAGAAACAGTACAGGACGAGCAATCGATCAGCCCAAATTCCGTCGAAGGTGATTTTCACAATCCTCTTACAAGTAGATGTGAAACGTTTCATGAAAAAAAACTGTAAGGTATCCTTTAGTTTTCCAACAAATAATGGATTATCGTTAGTGTATGTTTTCCCAAAGAAGGTCACTTTACTGATCACAGCAAGGCAGAATGCATAGTACCGACCTGCTGCATCGTTGCATTACTCCACAACTCAGTTTGTTGTTGTTTCGCTTTGTTGCGTTTCATCATGACTTCTCAAACTCATTAATAATTCATTAAGAAAATACAAAGGAAATTAATGTTTAATGAGTGTTTGGAAATCGGATGAAACACTGCTTAGTATTTGCATCCTTAATTTCTCCTTCAAAAATGATTTTGTTTGAGAAGAAATATCAAACATTCGACACAGTGTTTCATCACCAGATGAAACACCTCGAAGTTCGTCAAAAATACTCCGCTGCGCGTCGTATTTTCAACTCTCTTCTCGGTGTTTCATCTGGTGATGAAACACTGCATCTCATGTTTGATATATTACATGAAATTTATTACGGCATTCTTTTTCTTTAAAGGGTCTAGTGCAAAGCAGCAAAAAAAGCCAAAGAAAAAGGAAATCATTAAAGCGTTATAGAGCAAAATGCATTAAGCATTGAGGGCCATGTGTTAGAAAACTCTTAAATGGGTTAATCATGTATATCTACCCTCTCAAAATAAAGAACATTGTATTGTATTGTATTGTAAGCAACAACTACATGGAAAATATTATAAAATGTTTGGATCCAAAAATGACCGGTCAAAATGACCGGCAAGAAGAGAGTTTGACCAGACAAGCCCATGATCAGGCTGGACATTGTCCATTGACTGGCTGTTATTTTGAGCCCTGTTCTGTATTGAATGTTTTCAATTTTTATTTTTGATGGTGTGACAGTGACAACAGAGAACAATACTGAAATTATGAATATATGAAAACCATATAATTTTTATGTGAACTGCAGAGTGAAGAATTTTATTACATGTATTTGAAGGAAGATCATTGCAGTTATATACGCAAGTTATACTGTAAGACTAGTCTTGCACAAGTAGCATTTTATATGAGTCAGGAACTGTACCTTACAAGCATGTAAGATTTGCCTTTTATCGAAGCTAAAAAGACCTTTTTTACCATTTACTCTTAAAGTCAATGTCTTATTTTTTCTGGTGTAAATGAACCTACTGTGTAAGCTGATTATGAGGTGAATGCAGGTTATGTTTTGCACCCAAATGTAGTTCACAGCTGAGATAAGGTTCAGAAATAAGTCCTTAAACATAACCAGGCAGGCACATAATTTACACCTAAAATAGTAATTCTGTACTTGACCACTGGTTGGTTATATGAGTGAGCCGTATACGTTAGTCTTCTAATAATCTTAATCTTGGTCACATTATTGCTATTGCTAAGGGCTGGCGGCTTGGGTTTTTTTCCAGCTACAGTACTGTAAGGATGATCTGCCTCAGTCGAACCCCACTTTATATGAACCCACTTAATACGGACACCTTGTTATTATGGACAGTCTTTCTTGTCCCCAGCCCTTACATTATTTAAATTTAATTTGTAAACATTCTGTGGCCCCTCTTAGCGTCTGTATTAACCCTTTACACCCTAAGATCAAAATTTGAATTCTCATTTGTTGCCCCTATTCATTTCCTATGGACATAATTGGGAGAAGTTGATAAAATATCAAGAAAATTCATCTGGTGTGATCATGTCCTTAATTCTCATGACCACTCTGTTTCACAAAGCATTGATATTACAGGGAGAAATTTGATGCTGATCACTCTTAGAGCTTAAAGGTTAAGAGGGTTTGACTGTACTTTCATAGAAGACAAAAGGAAGATAGAACCAAAAGAGTTTCTTAGCTGTTCAATGCCCCACCTACTGACTCCAAACACCCAGCAACTTTTTAATACTAGTGACAGCCCTGCTTATTGTTTTGCAGTGATGTAATCATTACAAGAGTTCTTAGTTCTACACTTGAAAATTGTGAGAATCAAAGGTTGTGCTTGAGGAAGCCATGATGAAAAGTTAGGGCTGGGGAAAAAGAGCTTCTCCTGACCTTATGGGTATCTCTTATCCATAAGATTTCCAACTTCAGATTCAGGAGCTAGATTTTGACAAATATGTATTCCTGATAATAATGTTTTTCTTGTTTGTGATTATTTTAGTTGAAGACGACTCCAGCCGCACCACCACCAGCTCCAAGACAACCGGCAGCATCACCTTCTGCATCGCAGCCTGCAGTTCTTCAGACTAAAGAGGAACCACCCCCTTATGTGGTGTGTTCTTGTATTTAACCCTCTTGTGATGTAATAGCAAATTAATAACAATTTTATTATCAATATGATCAATAGACCGATTGCAAATGTTATGACATATGCACGAAAGCGAGGCCTTTTGGTGGCAACTGTTGGTAAGGGTCAATTTTCCTTTTCGCTTCAAGAAAGTTTGTTGTTTTCATTTTCTCGAAACGTTTCTATCAAAGATCTCTTGAGAAATTACCTAATTGTGGACAAAATTTATTTGAGTGATCTTTTCTTAAAACTTTAGGTGTTATGTCTAGGTCAGTGCTTTGTCACTGCTCAGTGCAAGCAGCCTTTATTATGCCTATATTTTCCTTGCGTAGAATAGAAGTCAGTGACATGAAGACCAAATTGATTGCTCTGTAAAACATTCTACAGTCACTAGGCAGATTGGAAAGCTTACTCAAAATGAACAAACCCAAAAGAAAACTGCTTGAAAACTTGCTTAAACAGTTCATAACGAGAGGGTCAAGAGTTCAGAAACATTGCCTGCACAGCTTATGTTAAAACGGCTCTTGGAAAAGCAAGGTTCAGTCTTGGAAGTTCTAAAGTATGCTAAAAAATAGCTTAACTCTTCTGGTACATTTTTAATTATAACAGTTCATCATGCTGAAAACTAAACAAAGTTCCCTAGATATATTAAGTTCAATTGTGGAGTAAAAGGAATTAACCCACTCTTTGCCCAAAATATGACTTGGAAAGAAAAGGAAAAGCAAAGCAACAACAACAAAACCTTGATAGCCCATTTCTATGCCGCAATAGGCCTTTTTTTGCTTTTAATCACAGACCACTCACCTTGTGTTATTTTTTCGATTCAACCAGCGCTGAATGCGGTCCTGAGACAAATAGTTTCTGATGATATTTAAGTTCATATTGAAGATTACCTTCAGTTGTGTTAGCTTGCATTTGACAGCTGGTTTGATGCTTTGAGGTTGAAAGAAAGGTGGGCCAAGAATGATACAAAAAGAAAATAGCAATGCACCTTTAAGGGCTGTCCTATAATACTAAAGAATTCACAAGAGCTTTTTGGCTTTGACAATCTGATGTTGTAAGTCAAATAAGGAGGTCCGATAGAAAATGGAAAGTCTCTTTGCAATAACGGTGTGGAGAAGGATAACAAAGCTATTCTTTGAGTCGATGATACATAATCAGTTAAAAAGCAGTTCTGCATGAGCGGCTTTCACACCTGTTTGATGACTATTCTGTCCTAATGCTTCGCACCTGCTGTGTCGAAGCGCTTTCTATGCATGAAAAATAAGGGCATAAAAAAGGCTGCCTTAAACCAAACTGTATCGTAACCCTGACCTAGATATCACTTTTAAAGTGTAAAGGAAAGATATTTCAAGTATATTTTACCCACAATTAGGTAATTCCTTTACAGAAGTTTAAAAGAAATGCTTTGAGAAAATGTAAACAACTTACTTTTTTGAAGCAGAAGGAAAGGAAGAAAGACCCTTAGCAACCATTGCTACCGATAAGCCTTGCTTTTGTGCTTACGTCTCCATATTTGCAATCGGTCTATGATAGTAAAAATTACATAACATAAAAATATATCGTTTGGGGGGCCTGAAAGGTAATTTTCTTATCTCAGGCGACAAACCCCTTAATAATTTCTATCTGAAAAACAAAATTAACATTATCTCCCCTAGATGTTTGGTGCTCCAAAAAAAGAGCCTTTTCCATGACTCACATTGTAGTTTTGTCAACACTTTTGCTCGCTAAAAGCAAACTTATGGTAAACTATGAATGGAAGGCATCCCACCCCCTACCATGCCTACATGTACCCCTTACCATGGTTGCCCTTTTCTATTTATGACATTGCTGCCTACTTAAATTTTTTTCTTTTTCTGCTTTTAAAATTTCTGGGAAATTTTCTGGCCAGCATTTAGGCAAAAAAGAGGCAAATCTTGCACAAAGTACAATAAACTGGTGAATTTACCTAAGGTGCATTATTATAACATGCAATATTGTTATATTTTCATTCTATTTATACTTTATATGCAGGTTGAAGAGGAGCAAGAAAACTTGAGAAAACGTCAGGAGGTATGTGTACTGGAATCATGACAAACATTGAACAGAAAAAAGATTTTGTGCAAATTAGGGTAATGGTAATTGATTCACTTTAACAAGAAAGTGCAGTTGACAAGTTTAGGCCAACAAGGACTTTTGAGTTGTTGCTTGTGATCTTTGCAGTAATTCCTTTTTCTATATGCTTTAATATGCAACATTTTCTTGAGACTGTCACAAATGTAGGTAGCAATGCAAAATCGCAGAGTATTGTCAGAGAAATCCAGATTTAACAAAGAGCCCACTGAAGTGTAGTGCACACTGTGTTGAGTAAGATAACTTTTCTGGCCTATAAAAAGAAAGGAAAGAGAAAGGATTGCGTGGAAGGAAATACTTATTTATTGTATCATTGCTTACAAATATATGTGATGAGTAATATAATGATGTTTTGGATTAGGCTGAGTGAGATGAAGAATATGCAGATTGAGGAAATTGACCAAGAGGGGAAAATAATATAATTAACTCCCTTAGATTTATGAGATCTGCTTAATTCTTTGGGTCATACCTTTAGGTCGTAGCTGCCTCTTTGCATGACATCCATGCCCATTTTTTTCAGTCATTTAATTTACTATTGTTGTTAGTGTTTACAAAATGTAAAGGCTAGAAAAAACACAAGGTTGGCATTGTGGTGAGAGCACTCGCCTCCCACTAATATGGCCCAGGGTTCAAATCCTGGTGTCAACACCAGAATTGTGGGTTGAGTTTGTTATTGGTTTTCTCCCTTGTTCTGAGAGGTTTTTCTCCTGGCACTCCAGTTTTCCCCTCTCTTCAAAAACCAACATTTCCAAATTCCAATTCAATCAGGAATAAGGCAAATGAAGGATCACTATGTGGATGTGCTACCTCTAAAGGCTGGTTTTCACTAGCGACGGAGTCGGAGTCAGAGTCGTAATCAGAAGCATAGAGTTTATGATCTAGTGAAAACAGCATTCCGATTCTGCTTACGATTGTGTCGCTTATGTTCTGCTTTTGATCTAGTGAAAACGAGATTGTCGGAGTCAGAAGCAGAAGAGGAAGACCTAAACCAATCACAAAGCGTGGGAATGTGCACTGTGATCAAGGTTTATCCTTCTGCTTCTGCGGACTCCAACAATCTGGTTTTCACCAGATCATAAGCAGAAAGTAAGCGACAGAGTTGTAAGCGGAGTCTGAAGATATGGAAACATTCTGATTCTTCTGACTCCGATTCCATTGCACTTATGACTCCGCTTACGACACCGATTTTTTATTTTCACTAAGTCGTAAGCGCTCTTAAGGCTCCACTTACGACTCCAACTCTGACTCCGTCAGTAGTGAAAACCAGCCCTAAATCATTATTTTATTTATTTATTATATATTACTGGTGAAAGGTATATAGTATTATTGTATCTTTATTTTGTAGGAGTTAGAGCGCAAGGCAGCAGAGTTGCAGAGAAAAGAGCAGGAGTTACAGAGAATGCAGTTTGGAGGTACTGAACAGTAGGGTTGCAGAATATTCTATTTTAATGTTCATTTTGGCTGATCGAAAACATTAAGTCATACTTCTTACAAGTCTTTAAGGTCAGAGCACACCAGGTGAAAAGTTGCAGCAACCCACTGTGTCGACAGATCACTCTGGCTTATGTACAGGTTGCATGATGAGTTACAAGAACATGTTGCAGTGACACATCGAAGCGACAAATCACTTTGCGTGTACAGGAGAATTTTTGCAATAATCTTTGTCTCTGCAACAAGTTGCAAAAAACATAATTAGACTGAATCTGTGCAACTTTTTGCAGTGACAAAATTCTGTTGTAGAGACAAAGATTTTCATAAAAATTATCCAGTACACGCAAAGCGATTTGTAGCTGCGATGTTTCATTGCAACATGTTGCTACAACATGTCGCCTAGTGTGTACTGACCTTTACCTGTCCGACTACCAGTTCTGTGCTTCATGATCCTCATAGTACAAAAATCAGTGAATATTAAAGTGATAATGATCTGTCCTGGATGTAAGATTTAAGAGTTACACTGTATGTGTAATAAGGCCTTATGTGACTCCTGCTCTTAAATTCTCCCTTTGATTTACAAGCACACCTGGGAGAATAATTATAGCGTTTTATCAGAAATCACTCAAGTAGGACTCTATTCAGGCAGTCCTTGAAATAAGCCTTTCACAGCTATCAGTAATTTCTTTTAATGCAAAATTCGCGGCCGGGATTTGTGTTTGCGGCGCACAGTACACGAAGGTTGGCAATGGGCCTTTAAGTGTAAGGTTTATTCATAAACTGAGTTTGTTTCTTTGCCCACCTGAGGTAAAACTAAATTACTAGGGACCAACAGGCACCACCAGAAGACATCCTCGTAAAAACAACTTTTAAGTTAATTAATGAAGTAGTGCGGCTGACAATAATATTGTTTTGAACAGATAACTTGAGCTGTTTAAACGGGGGCGCAACTTCATTAATTAAGGCTCGGCTAACAGCTCGAAATCAATTATTGATTTCGAGCTGTCAGCCAAGCCTTTCCTTTTTTGAACGGAAAGCCCGAGCCGTTAGAACTGATGACAGTTTTTATCAAATGGATAGCCTGAGTTATTCAAACAGATGACATTGCTTTTTCAAATGGATAACCAGATCTGTTTGAACGGATAACATTTTTTTTTTGAACTGATCGCCAGAGCTGTTGACACCAGGGTTTGATCAAATACCAAATCTTTGCAGAAATAGCCTTTCACAACTATCAGTAATTTCATGTAACACAAAATTCACAGGATTTGTGGTTGGGGTGCACAATGCACCAAGGTTCGCAATGGGCCTTTAAATGTAAGGTTTATCTATAAACTGAGATTTTTTCTTTGCCCACCTGAGGTAAACTTGAGTTACCAGGGACCAACAGGCACAACTAGAAGACATCCTCGTAAAAACAACTTTTAAGTTAATTAATGTTTTCTAAAGGCTAATTTTGTATTAATTTTCCATCACTTGAAGGTACCCAATACTAATTTTCATCACAATTTCGACAATTTTTTTTTTTTAATTTCTTTTAGTAGCATTACAATAAATGAAATAATAAATTAAATTAGATCTTAACATGTATTAACCTTTATATTGCAGGTTACAGAGAAAACAACTTTCCACCTCTGCCATCAAAATGCCCTTGCAAGCCATGTTTTTTCCATGATATTAGTATTGACATTCCCATTCAATATCAGAAGACGTGCAAATTACTTTTCTACAGATGGCAAGGTAGGGCTGGTCATGATCAAAACATGAATTGTTTTTTGTTGTTTCTTTCTTCTGTAGAAATATGCCATTGATTGTAGAATTTTGTGGTAGAAGAAAAAGAATGAAAGCAGGTTTTATGTCAGCCACTGGCTATTGGTGTGATTCAGCACCTGTGCATATTTAACCTACATTGTTAGGGCAGAGAATGATGTCATGTTTTTGAGCTGCACCTTTTTTCAAAGAGTACAAAGAAAAACAGGGTTTTTTCGAGAGGCTCTTAACCCCACCAGGGCTCGAAAAAATAGGGAAGCAGCTCTCACAGTTTGCTTGCCTGGGCCCACTTCTTACTCGTCTTAGTTAATGATTTTGTTGGAGGGTGACTTGCCTGGATCTTTGCCCTTGGGCAGCAAGTAAGCTTGAAAAGTTACTTACCCAGCAAGAAAGTCTACTTGTCTGGGATTACCAGATGAGACTTTTTTGAGTCCTACCTAGCAAGCAGAAAATATAACGGAGAGAGTGAAGTTACTACTTACTTAAAAAACATCGCCACTGGACAAAAATTAAGTTTAAACCCTGCCTCTGATTAGAATGCCAACTCCCCCTTGTCACCCTGCCTTGTTCGAATCATTCCTGTCTTATCAGGGTTCCAAGTAAAAGTCAACCATCCCATATGTACATTATTCTTTACGATAGACTATTAGTAATACTTCAATCTTTGTCTTGGTGGCTTGTATGATTGTCATGTGTTTATTTTTTTTTATTAAAATGCTTTTGTCAAACTTTTAAATGTAAGCCTAGAAAGATGCCTTATACTTTGCTTTGAATTGGCATTCATTTGGAATTTGAAAGCTAAAAACTACAAAAAAAACCTCTGCTTTTGGCAGTATTTACTTTGAAGTACAGTTATTCAAGTAGAATGTTTTGACCTGATCTCTGAGGTAAATCTTCAAATTGAATATAGAAACTACTTCTGATCAGATGACCCAAGATTTGTGTATTAAATCCTGTAAAATACAACCCAGTAAAGATCTTCACTCGGCAGTTTCCATAAACCTTTTTGATACCATCCAAATTGTTTTAATGTTGAAATGACCATAAATGATCTGATAGACTCCCTCTCTGAAGTAAATGCCTTTTGTCTAATAAGTGCCTCCCTTACACTAACTTTTGAGTTTGTATTAGAACACCCCCTATCTAATGGACGCCCCCCAGTCAGTATTCTTGCTTGATTAACGAAGGTTACACATTGCACATCTTGTCCAATGTTTGAAAAGTTCAAAGATAAATAGGGTAACAATGACAGTTCACACAATGATCCTGAATGAGGATTCTGACATTAAGGTTGAAATTTGAAAAGCAATTTAGACGGCCTAGAAGTATTAATAAATAGACTGGTTATTTTGCTATCGATAAACTATATTGATTTTCTTCCTGAAAACATATTAGTCGTGTTGAACTTTCTACAAATATGAAGTAAATGCCTCCTATCTATTAAACGCCCTCTCTTGGACCCCTAAAATGAAATAAACATCCCAGGCTTCTATTAGATTGGTATGTATCTTGTATCTTGCTGCTGTTACTGTTGTAAAAAAGTAGATGTGTTTTCTGTTTTTCTTTCAGTCTACTCTTTCACAATGTTCTATAACTTCCTTGCCGCCTTTGCCTTGCTTGTTGGTGATGCTGAGCCAATTCATGAAGGCGAAACATTTGGACTCTCGATACTGTACTTAGTTGCAAATGTACCTTTGTCATTTTTGGGGTGGTACAGGCCTGCTTATAATGGTCTAAAGTAAGTAAGGATAAGAATCACAAAAGTTTAAGTCAGCAAAGTGTCAGCTTGAATGTTTCATGAAATAAATTTTTTAGAAAAATATTGCTGGTAATTTTGTAGCTGTTGGAAGGGTAAATTAGTCTGCAACGACAGGTAACCCAAGTGCGAAATATGACCATCAGCCTTGTTACATAAGGTTCAAAATATAAGGATTTGTATGGTGAAAAAAATAATAATTATTATAATTACAATTATTGTTACTGTAACCTATGATTGTGAAAGCATTGAAATAAAAATTGGCTAACCTCAGCGGCATGTGTTTCTTTTTTCCTGTGTGGTTTCCTGGGTTGATTCATGGCCATTATATGCATTTTAATTCAGCTGGTTTGTTCTCTCAATAATCTCAATTAAGACACATAAAATGGCCATAAATAGACTTGGGAACCACCGAGGAAAGAAGAAACACACAAATTAAGTGAGGTTAACTGAGTTTTTGTTTTACTTTCATTCTTAGGTTACAGAAACAGTCATTTGTTTACCATGCAAATCCTTATACATGTATTTCAAACGTTGTGCAGCAATGTCGATGGTCGTACTTTAAACCTTGCCACCTGTGTTGCAACCAACACTCCAACAGCAAACAGCGGTAATAGCTGATAGCATGTGGCCTCTGTTGTTGTAAACTTAGGGGTTTTTTTCTGCTTGGTTAAGTTTTACTAACAATTCCATGGCCCTTTTCTGATGCATTCAGGCTGGGATAATTTATAAGCTGACTTAAACTTTTTTATGATTACTGGCCCTCTTAGCTTCCCTATCCATTTCCTTTTTGTTGCAGTTTACTGTTTTGTTCTGTTCTTTAACTTCCTTGCTGCAATGGCCCTACTGATCAAGGGACCTGGTGAATCAAAAACGGATACTGGTTCAACTTTTGGCCTGTCAGCCTTATACTTAATAGCTAATGTCCCCTTATCCTTCATTGGCTGGTACAGGCCATGCTATCGTGCTTTCAAGTAAGTTTTTTGTTTTACACCTGCATGCAGGACTGGAAATGTAGGCCATTTTCCAAACTGGCCGCATATTTCCCACCTTGGAACTTTTACAGAGGACCCAGTCTGCAAATTTGGTATCACACTGATTCCACAACCATATAATGAATGAAGGACATTCAATTTAGGTTTCTGGGAAACTGCCCACCCACCCCTCCCCTAAGGGACTTGTCAGAAATTAGCAGGGGGCGGGGTGGGAATTTGAAATGGGGGTTCGGAAATGAGGTGACCCATTCCTGCAATGGGAGTGAAATTTGCTAACCCTCCCCTTGAGCTTGGCCTAAAATATCATGACCCTCCCCCTATCGTATAAATGAGAAAATCTAGTTCTTGCAATACACTAGGGTGCGTCAGTATTATGAAAACTCAAAATATATTTCTAATCTGTTCTTTGTAATGCTATAGCTGTATAAATACATTTTAGATGACAGCATTAAGAGTCCGACTCTGATTCTGACAGCTGATCACTTGACAGAATAAAGAACTTCCTTTTTCTTCTGTAGGTGAACCTCTACATGATCATGGGCATATATTTGCATGACCCACCCCTTTTAAACGGCCCATTTTTCATGACCCCTCCCTTTTCTGCTGTCTCAAAAAGTTGTGACCCTCCCTCTGTTTCCCCCCCCTCCCCCCTGCTAATTTCTGACAAGACCCTAAGCCAACATTTTGCCCTAAGCGAGCAGTAAGTGATAATGTTGGCTGTGGGGAGGGGTAGGTGGGCAGTTTCCCAGAAACCTAAATTGATCCCAAATTTGCAGTAAAAATTAAACCCACCATATTCCCATGCAGTGATATGAAAAGTATCTTGGTGGAATGAAATCCCTTTAGATCCGTAAGTTGTAGTTAGGTGTAAATTAAACTGAAATTTGGCTTAATTATTGCTTTTAATTCACTTTTTTGTTGATCAAAGAGAAAACCTTCCAACACCTTTACTGGATGCTTGTCTTTGGTTATAGTACAGCCTAAAATCAAGTTGATGACTGATCCTCTTATAAATTCATGAAGGATTTGAAGACTTGATTGGCGATGATTGATTCTTGTGTTTGTTACATGTTTCCTGTCAGAATAACCAAACCGAAACAGCCTTTGTTAAAGTTTCAGTTAGTTGGAATCAAGTGTTTTTTTTCCTTTTTTTGTATTTTTCAGGAATGACAGCTCCTTTAGCTACGTGATTTTCTTCCTAATCTTTTTTCTGCACATAGGAATAAATATTTTTTACTGTCTTGGAGTTCCTGGTTCAGGAGCATGGTAAGTTCTGAGCATACTTAAAAAACCCTTATAGATTAGTCCTTTTCAACACAACACACAGGAACTTTTAATATTATATCCGATTAAAATTTAATCTCCGATTAGCTAATCAGCCTTCGCGCAACTGAGCCCAAGGCATTTCCTCTATTTATTATCATTCAATCATGGGTATTATCTTCTGTAAATAGTTATTAAGTCAAGGGCATACGTCTGTGGTTAGTCAATCAGTCAGCAGTATTAATTACCCATGATTGATTAGCATTTAATCATCCCCAGGTGATCTGGCCGTCAATGATAAGCCAATCAACATTGAGCCAAAATTATTTTTAAAGCTGGACAGAATTCTTTCTGTGCCTAGACCGTACAAACCAGCAGCTTTGATGGATTGTCAGAAATGCTACTGTTTTCAGTTAGAAATATTCACAGTCGTCCATTCATATAAGTACTTCTCATCTTTCTGATACCATCTAGAGTTCTACATGTAGCACGACGTTGGAAATAATGCCAAAATTCATGATAAATTTAGCACTCTAACTACCCGCAACCACCATGAAAGACAAAAATGAAACTGATCGCTACGGGCCCCTTGTGTCATCTGGGCTTCTTATTCTTCTGTTCAAAAGCATTTTCACGGATAAGTTTCTCGTTTCTCTATAGAGCATCAAATCATTACATTGCAGGCGAAAAGGATAACTTTTAAGCTTTCATTTCTGAATTGAAATTTAGCACTAACCCTGGGTTGTCTTAACCCTGCTTTGAATAACCCGGCCCTGGACTGTATTATTATACACATGAGATTTACTTTATTTATTGTTTGTTTGTTTTCTTTTTTCAGTGGTTTTATCAATGCAACTCAGGCAATACACAACAGTTTACCAGTTGGAGCCATGATGTTTGTGGCCGGTGGACTGTTCTTGCTTGGTGTGATCGTAGATATTTTTCTTCTTTTAAAGGTTTGTCTTCTATATAATCGTGCCAGCTAATTGTAGCTAGCTAACAGGTATCATATGATAAATCAATCTGATTCCTGGAGATATGTTTGTAAAGGCGGGGTTTGAACCCTGGTTTGACATGTCATAACGTTGTATACAATTACAAGATGATCTTCACAGCTTGGAAAAATGGGAATCCGATTGGTGTATGGAATTTAAAATTATACGGGTAACACGCAGACGGACACCTTTCATATTTCAGTAAAAACTTCATGGCAAGGTCCTGGAAACTGTTGATACTACTAAATATTTAGCGATCAACCTCTCTCACGTGATTTACGCTGGAATGATCATGTAATTGAAATTACCACCAAAGCAAACGAGACTCTGAACTTTTCTACGCCGCTATCTCCGCACTTGTTTGGCCAAATCCAAAGAACGAGCATACAAAGCCCTTGTTAGACCGATTGTTGAATATAGTGCCGATGTCTGGGAGGCGAACTATCACTCGCACACAATCAAGCTGTACCCTTGCGTAGCTAAGAACATACATTAACAGCAGGTCGAAATGATTCAACGCCGAGCAGCTCGCTGGGTACTCGGGCGCTACGACAGATTAGACAGTGTTACTGATATGATATCTTCTCTCAAATGGAGATCTCTGGAGCTCAGGCGATCTCATGCACGTCTCTGTCTGCTGTACAAACAGTGTAATGGATTAGGCTCTTACGATTGCGACAAGCTTCAGAGAGAACATAAGAGCAGAATGGACACCAGGCTCTCGTCTCTCAGTCATCGATTTGAACAGCTACGTTGTACATGTGATTATTAAAAGAACTCTATTTACCCTAGTAGTTCACAGTGGAACAATCTCTCACCAGAAATTATAGCATCTACTTTGCCATGTTCATTTAGGTAATCCCTGTATAATCTTACATATTGATTAGTAATTTTATGTTTTTATTCATTGTCGTAATTTTTATTATTTAAAGCAGTCTGCAATACTCTCTTAAGAGTGAAGACTTTATTGGTAAATAATTACATCCTGAAGTAAAATATTTATTGATGTTGACAGGTACACAAGATATACCGCATGGCAGGTGCAAGCTTTGAGAAAGCTCAGGGAGAGTTTGCACGGGGAATGGCCAGCAACCCGCATGTGCAGAATGCAGCCACAGAAGTAGCGGCGGCTGGGGTGCGCAGTGCTATCTCGGGTGATAACAGGAAGTGATCAACAGGTTTAAGAGGACATTATTATCACATAATTATGGACAAACTGAGGCTGAGAAGCTGTTCATAGACGTACCTGGATTCCGAAAATATAGAGACTCCATTTGGTAGTGGTATTAAGTTGATCAATGCAACTTTAAACTTGAATCTTGGTTGCATTTTTTTTTTTTTGAAATACCAGCTTTCTTCATTAATCAGGGCTCAAAAAAGCCCGATACACCTGGTATTCTTGGACAAAACACTGTCATTTTGCTTGTTGGGCGGGTAACTTTTTAAAGCTTATGTGCCCAATGAGCAAGAATCCAAGCAAGTCATCTTATAACTGAATCGTTCAGCAATGGATCTGTGCAAGCAAAGTGTGAGAGCTATTGCCCAAAGGACAAGGTGGAATTCGTCACTTTCGAAACGAGAAGGGAACTGGACTCCGTTTCTCAAAAGGGGGAGAAAGGTGTTTTATGTTTGCCGTGTTTGCATCCAAGATTCAAGTTTCAATAATTCTGATAATGATACAATGAAGCTATCAGTTAACGAAGCAAAATTGACTGGTTTGTGAGCTAGGAACTGTGCTACTATTACAAAGGTTTTGATTTTAAATTTGCCTTCGGGCCCGAAAAGTTTCCGGGCTTTTCGAGAAACAGGTCCCTGGGGCCGAGTTAACTTTCGCAAAGACTTCTGGGACTGTTACTGGAGACAGGGAAAGAGTTGGGCAATGGCTGACCAGCTCGTCCCCAGTAACGATCCCTGAAACAATTTCACGACGCATTTCGGCTCCAGTTCCCTTCTGTTCTCGGCGAATTGCATTTTTTTGAGCCCTGCCTAAGTAATTAATTTTTCAAAGTTTCTCATTCTAAAGACTTGCTGTCTTTACAGAGGAGTAATTTCAGGAGTTGTTAGCTTTTCTGCCAGTCGTTTTCAGAAAATTCTGAATGTAATGTTTAGTGCGGCCAATTCCAGCCATCCACAGTTTTGAATTAGTAGAGGAAGTCATATATTGACAGTATAAAATTAATTTAAGAGCCACTTAGTACAAGGAGAGCCAACCAGAGTTACTCTGTGACATTTTAAAGGTGTGTTATTTTTTTATACGTCATTGTGGTGAAATGTCGTGCAGACCTGTAAAGAATTAAATTGCTTGTAAACATAGTACTGAGATGGTGTAACCTACAACCGACCAAACGTGGCAAATTGTAAAATTAATCTTATTTGTTGAAAGATATGGAGTAAACAGTGCAGATTTACCAAACGCACGCTGAGTCTATGGTTTTAGAAGGTTTTATTCTTCTCAAAATCGGTTTAGCGTAGCGTAAAAATAGTTTGAGTCTCACGCGCGCGAAAAATACAATGACTGAAATTAAAATACAATGACTGCCACCACAGCTAGGCAGGCTATCCTCTGTTGGTGTTGTCATTGAAATATGAGCATCGTCGAACTTTTATACATGTATATAATAGTAAGTGAACGTCAAGCCGGCTACAGGTCATTCCAAAAACAGGTTTGACCGAAAATGTTTCAATAAAAGTTCTTGCCTGCGGAACAGGCATTAGTTTTTCCCCTTTTTTAGGCGAGTGGAGACAAGCGTGAAGCGAACACTTAGCGAAGTCCTTAGGATTATTAGGGGTTTCCCGGATACGTCACAGATCTTCTGGAGTCCCGTACAAACGTGAGTCACCAACTCTCCCGGATAAAACTAAACTGAGCCAGTACTAGAAGCTGAATTTAGCCTAAGCCTCTTACAACAAAAAAATAATAATTTCCCCAAACTCATTTTTTTTTCGATCACAGCACGGTTTTTGTGGCATATCACTATTGTTTTTGGAATGGGATAGCATATACACAGACGCTGTTTTATTATTAGGCTAGGAATGGGGATGCCTAAAACGCGGGGATGCCCATATCACCCATGTAACACCTATAATCCCTGAGCCACACCCATAATTTGGGACCAGGTCTGGGACTGGATTGATTTGTGTTAATGGGGGAGGGGACTGGGTGGAGGCGGCGTTGGTGCTAAGTTTAATGCCGAACAAAACCCCTATAGTGGGGGGCTAAGGGGGGGGGGGGGGCCCATTCGGCTGCTGACTACGCGTTTTTAAGCCAGGGCTGTACAGGTCCTTCTACTGGAATGAGCCTTCGCAGGCTGTCACGCGGGATGATTATCTGATTATCTGATTACAGTATTCGATAGATATAGGGCCAACAACTCCACGCAGTAATTTAAAGGGACTGGTTCACGATAATGCGCATGCGCGCCGTTTGTCTCTTTCAGAATAAATTTGTTGGGTCAACACTAAATTCGAAATCGCCATTACCGGTACAATCATTGAAAATCCTTCGTTTTATTCGGACATCCGTCGCTTTGGCTGGTCTAGTTATACTTCGGTAGTGGTGATTAACGTGTGGTTGTGTCGTTTGACTGGTTGCGTTTTAAGAAGACGCAAAAAATAATGTTTTGATCATGGAGGTTCAGAAAAGCAGCGTGGCCGTCCGGCAACAGGACGTTCTCAAGAGTCTCTGGAGATAGAGAAGCTTAGCCTATCGAACTGGTATGGTTCTAGGAGTAGTGTGTGGCATACGAAAAGAATACACGAGACTTGGAAAGTGGTTAAAGGCATGAGTTCGTTCAACTTTGGTTTGATTTTTGACTCCGATCTGTAGTTATACCGCAACAGGCCGCGCGATCTTTACCGATCTGGTACACTTGAAATGTTCCTTGTATCTTTGCTTTACGATCGTATATGTTTAAGAATTGATGTTTTTAAAATAAATTATTGCCTGAATATTCTGTTTATAATCTAGTTTCTTTATGTGTGCTACTCGATAACATTTGTTTTGCGGAACATTGACCCGATGCAACGCGAATGAATTTGTTCATTTGCTGATAAGCAATTGAAATTTATGCTCAGTTAAGGATAATCTTTATACTCATACGTTGTGTGTTTTTTGTCACCGGTCAGGCGCTATTTGTAGGTATTTCTGGGTTTATATAAGGCGAACTGAGAGAACAGTAATAAGATGTTTGTGTACAAATTTTGTTTGCCGATCGGTGACTGTTTTGTTAGCGTGGGTACGACCTCGTAAAAATACACGTTGGTAAATGTTTGTTTCAAAGCAAGACAGGGCTGTAAATCTTATTCTTATCGGCTGCAACATATATCTGAGGAGTAGCAAAGAATAAACTGGAATTATGGGGATAAATAAATTCAAACCAAATGCCCGGAAATACTCTCGCGTCGCGAACAATTAATTTGAATTTTGTAAATCTACTTGCGTGCATCTAACTCGCTTCCGATTGGTTGAAAAACAATCAGCTACTGTCAGAACTCACACATGCGCACTATCGTGAACCAGTCCCTTTAAGCTTGTGTTCGTTCCAAACCGACTTCTAAATCTGTCCACCAGAAGACCTGAAATGACCCGTCCACTTCCCGCAAAAGGGAAAAGTCGGCCCCATTGAAGCCGGGATGGGACACGCTGGGGGCTACGTCCGTCATTTTGTCCTTTTTTTAACATAGACGCGACTCATTTCTCGATTGGGCGTTGCCCTCGCGGGCAGCCCGATAAAAACAGAACGACAAAGAGGCAAAATTGACTTGTTTGGTAGCATATGAGGAAGCTCTCCATTTGGAAAAGTCGTAGTCTGCGTAGCAAGCGTTTCCGTGTGGTTTGGGAGCAAAGAACGAGGAACGAGAGTCAGAGACTGCGCGAAAAAATGGCTCTCGTTCCATTTCTCGCGCGGCCAAAACCGAAAATCATGCTCCCTGGTCTTTGTTTGCTCCGAAACCCAAAGCAAACGCTTGCTACGCAGGCTACTTGTTTGGTGTCTGATGTTATCGCCCATTTCCGGCTTTTCGCAACAGAGTCTAGGCTCGTTTTCCGCCGGCTTCTGTTTCAATGCGTTCTTGGGGGGGTAGCTAAGGGTCACGAGCAAACAATCAAAACTAAACTAAACAACAATTGCAGCAAGAAAAAGAAGTCTACCTTGCTTTCAATCATAATCTCATAGCTGGCCGTTTCTTACCCTGGGTGCCAGAGGCTTTTCATGCGCGGTTTCCTGTTTTCTCGCGGCTTCGCAGCTCATGTCTTCGGCCTTTGGCCGAACACGTGTCGGCCTGTGAACCTTCCCGATGCACGCGAGAAAAAACCTCTGGTACCCAGGGTAGCCGTTTCTACGTTCTTCCAAAAATTCGAAACCGTACAGGTAAACCTGTCTCCTCGTCTTAAAACTGATTATCCTGATCCAAGCTGGCTCATTCTCTCTCTCTCAGCATGATCACATCCCGGGGCGGGGGTTGAAGTGGTGCTTGGGTTAATTTTTGCTGGGTATGTGAAGCTGCCTGCTGGCAGGCTACCCTACAATTAGCACTTACACGACGGGTGCAAGGACTGGACTTCCGCCCTGGCACCCTTCGTGTAAGTGTTAATTGTCATAATGCAAATTAGTTGGTAAACGCAACAGTGGTCATAGGTACTAGACGAAAGGCAGACGTGCCGTCCGGCACAAATAGCTCGATTTGACGGGGAAATTATGGATCTTTTTTCGAGCCGATCTCCCAGAGAGGAAGAGGTTTCACTCTTGGACTGGAGCTGAAAAAGTTGCAGCGGATTTGAATTTCGGCGAAAAAAACGGCATGTTGCGACTGGTCCAGGATCGACCCTGCTAGTCTGCTACACAGCCGTTTTTTGTGTAGCAGACTAGGACCCTGCAGGAGCCGATGGCTCCTGGACCCTGCTAGACTACGAGTAGTCCCCCATTTGTCCTCAGGGGTAGTAGAGTGAGCGAAACACGAGCGCGCGTGAAAATCACTCCACGCGAGAAAAGGCCCTGCCAGATCGAAGTGACCAGCCTTCACTTCCTTCTATGAAAAGAGTAACAGTGGTTACGCAATAAAGCCAAAAAACCCAGTAAAACGACAAACAGACACCAAGACGCAGTGGAACACATTGCAGGTAAGTCTTTTTTTATCCCTTTCATTTAAGAAAAAGTAAGGTTTAGCGTTATTTAGCGTTCACAGATATCAGCAATATATTTCTTATACAAAGTCTCTTATATTTAGGGGCACCGAAAATAAAGCTCGAAACAGGAGCCCATGGGCTCCTGGTTCGAAACCACTTAAACATTAAAAAATGGGTGGGGCCACCCACTTTTTAAGGGAAAAGCCCTGGGGACGAGGTTGAGCATAAAGTACTTTAGTATTTAAACGGTAGATATCGGCATATTTTTATCCCCTAAAAAGTTTTCATCTGCCTGTTCGGATTTTCTAGCTGAAAGTCTAGTCATCCGAAAACAGGCTCCTGTCCGAAAATTATAGGGATCAAAACTTACCTTTTCGAAAATTTCAGCCAGAATTCCCGAAAATTCTAAGTGACCTTTTTAGGGTAAAAATCGGTTAAAAATGGGCAATTATACCATTGTTTAGACGTTCGAAAATCCTACGAGAGGCAGGCAAGCAAGAGATTTTACAAAAAATGGGCCGAAAATTCTACTTTGGGTGTCCCTGTATATTTCAACGGTCGCCTGTAACGCGACACCGGTGCGTCAACTATGGACCCTTCCCTCGTAACGCGAGTTTGGGCTGCCTGTGCCCTACGGAAACCCTAACAACCATTCTCGATCCCAGTGCTTACGCGTCTCACTCCGCGGCATAACAATCAGAAAAATGAACAACTATGAACAACGCTCAGCGGCTGCGGCGGCAAACTGCAAAGCGAAGCATTTTTTACCCGAAGCAGCATGGGAGAAGCTTCACATCTTAACGACGATGTTCAGAATGCATATGACGGTGACGAGGGAACGGAGCAACCCAACATAATTCGCGACTGGGCCGAGCAACCCTACGATGTAACGTTGGTGGTCAAACATGGCGAACAGTTCAAAGCTCATGGGAACATTCTCCGAGAAACTTGTTGTTTCTTTGAGAAGATACTCGATGGCAACTGGAAAGAGAATCAAGACGGAGTCATTCGACTGGAGCTTCTGTCTGAGGAAATAATGGAAGCGATGTTAAGATTCATTTACACTGGTACCCTTCATGTAAACGATGTGGAGAGAGCCATGGACTTGATTGAAACAGCTGATTATTTGCTCTTTCCGAAACTAAAGGACATCCCTGAGCATTTTCTCGAGCAAAATCTGTCAACTTCTAATTGTGTTTTACTAAATCAATTTGCGGGGAAATATCGTTGCGAAAAACTGCTAGCCACCTCAAGGAAATTTATCCAATCAAACTTTACTTCTGTTGCCAACACGGAAGACTTTTGTGAGTTGTCTGTTGATGAGGTTGAAGAGTGGATCTCAAGTGACGTCATAAATATTTCTGCAGAAGACGATGTTTTCAGGATCATTCTGAGATGGATCGACTATGATCAAGAGGAACGCAAAGAGAAATTTCCGAGCCTGTTTCGCCACGTAAGGCTAGGTTTTGTGTCGCTTAGCTGTCTGCTTAACGAAGTAGTAACCAGTGATTATGTGAAGAAAGACGAA